TCTTACTTTGAGAGTCCAATTTTCTTTTTTTTAAATTTCCTCTCTCTTAGATTCTCCTCCTTCCGGTTTAGTAGTTTTTCAAAGTGCTTGTTCACTGCTTTAACAAATAGTTCTAGATATATATTCCCCCTAGATTTCCTTGGGGTCAAATTTTAACAAAAAGTATTCTCTCACCCAGTTCACATATTATTCACTGAAGTCTGCTCCTGCACTCTCTTAGGTATTAAGGATGTCCCCAGCTTCATGGCAGCCATGATGACTGCCACTGCTCCTCGTCTTCAGATAAGGAGGATTTTCCAAGTCAGGGAGGAGAGATGCGGCTCTAGTTGACCTGCAAGGCGCTCCCCTTTACTTTACCATCCCTACCGGGTGGCTATGGCTCCTTTCTGAGCCCTCCGATGGGGAGAGCTTGGAGCAGGACCGTGGAGCTCACGGTCCTTGCCTCCAATAACACCGGAAGTACAGCTGGAAGTCTAGAAATCTTCAGCAATCTAAATGGTTGTCATATAGAAGAGGTAGTAGCAGGGGTGAAATTCACTTACCTTCCCTACTGGTTCGCACACAGCGCGCACACTTCACTCACACCTGCACACATGTGCAAAGCCTTCTGCACATGCACATTGGCTTAAAATGTCACAAAAAAGCGATGTCATGAAGTCTGTAGGGGGGGGACGGAGCCTTCTGCAGCGCCGCTACCAGTTCACCTGAGCCAGATAGAACCAGCTGAATTTCACCCCTCGGTAGACTTAATCCTTTGTTGACTTGAAAGGAAGGATGAAAACAAGTGAGTTCAAACTACCATGTTTCCCCGAAAATAAGACCCTGTCTTATATTTTTTTGAACCCTGAAATAAGCGCTTGGCCTTATTGCTATGCACTCAAAAGCCCAATTGGGCTTATTATCAGGGGATGTCTTATTTTGAGGGAAACAGGATATAAGAAAGTGGATTCAGGTTAGTTATAAGAGAAATACCCTGACATTAGACACTGGCCATTAGTGGAACAAGCTGTTTCCTAAAATGGTATGATTGTCTTCAATGGAGATCTTCAAATCAAGATTGGATAGTCATTTTTTCCAAATGCATTTAGCAGATCCTGCATCAAGCAGAGGTTGGACTAGATGAACTTTGATATCATCCTCCAACTCTACAATTCTATGAGTTACCCTGACAAAAAATGATTCAGGAAAAAATGTTTGTAAAGCAAAAGGTTCAATATCTGCTATAGATGAGGGAAGTTCTGCAATTTTACCCTGCATTTTCTCCTCTCTAAGCAAATGATTCCAAAATATAATTGTGTATAAAGCATTTGGGAACTCACTTTTCTACAGAAAAGTCACATCAAAAGGCATCAGCAGACTAATATTTTCATCTCCAAAATATCTCTGCAATTTTTCTGGCACATTTTAAACATCTGGATACCACATACATTTTTTTTACTTAAACAAGGTCAGCTTAAGGATTGTTACCACTGTGTGAGATAATACAGTTAGGACTATAATTCTGGATTTGCCTTAAAACACCATGCATTCCACAATTTCATGATAATCCATGATGCCCAGTTATAGGAATAAATTGTCAGAATATGATTCCTGATAGCAGTCTCTTTGGACCTCTCTGAATGAGAAGCTGCCCAGTCACTTTTAATAGCAAGATGGACATCATAAATGTAATAAATAAAGCTAAACAGTACAAGTAAAAACCCACTGAGTATAAATATGAAGGAAGGGAAAAGAGTTTCGATAGAAGGCTTGGTTCATTATCATGTTAAGCTATAACCTTATTTATTTAGTTTTGGTTTAGCACAATATATGAAGTTGGCCAGTAAATGATGCAGAAGACAAGGTGAGGAAAGACAGTATTTAGTTTGTAACATCTTTTGCTGGAAATGTGATGTAAAATTTTGGCACCTAATAGCAAATATACAGTATGTACATCTTTCTTTCTCCTATGGTATATTTGTAAACAAAAGTATTTTGAATCATTATCAGTCAATCTTTAGTGATTGATCCTTTTCAAATAAAACCGAGCTGAGTTCATACTGATGCCCATGAAATATTACTGGGCAAACATGTTTAATTCTGATCAAGTCTCTCAACTCCTTTATGGACACTTGTACCTGACTACTCTATTTCTATTCAGAAAAATCTCTGAATCTTGGTAATACCATAACAGACTATTTTTCAGGGATAAGCTTATTCATTTCTGCCTTGTATTTGAAACCACAATAAAACTAGTCTTTTGTTTGCTTGCTTCTTTTAAACACAGCACATCTGTGTAATTTGTGGGCAATCCATCCCTCCATTTGCAGGAACCTCTGACTTTCAGTTCATGGGCTTGAGGTCTACAAAGAGGAAACACGGCTTTCACAAAACTATTGGAATATATGAATGATTAACAAAAAATTAACATTAAGATTGAGGATTGGGTACAAGCAATTCCTTTATTTTACATGAGATAGTAGCAATGGGTTTGTTACCAAAACCTGGAGCAGCTTGGAATATGGCATTGATTTCTGCTCCATAGTCTTGGAACACAGAGATTATAGGTTATCCTGAAACTGGATTCAAGGGATTGGAAGTAAAAAGGAAAATTGTTTCTGTCAACTCTTGAACACTAACATTATATGCAATCCTTCCTAAAGATAGATTGGGGTAGACTTAGAAAGGAAGCTGAGCACCCCAATTTAAGAACAGGCATCCATTCCTTCTAATTCTGAGCACCATAGTTTATGAATGCACTTACTTGGCCCAAAATATTTTATATTCTACTTGCTTGCTCATGCTTGCAAGGGTTTGATGATCAAAGTGCTCATTACAAATCCCAATTGTTTCACTTATAATTCAAGCAGTTTAGTTCAAGAAGCCCTATTTCTGGAGTATATATAAAATAGAGTATTATAGACAGAATAGTCCAATATCCATGTATTCTACTCTTCTTGGGAGTCATATACCCACAAATAGATGATTTGATGATGTTTATGTGATGATTTAAATTTGAGTCTCCAGGGAAAGATGTTCACCTCTGACAGTCACAACAGAGAATACAGATTGAATTTTCTCAGAGGTCCATTGCATTATCTCAGTAGGTCGGCATTGAGAAGAAAAGCAAAAGATATCCATTTATGTTTAAATGGAGGATAGGGACATTATATTTTATAGCATCTTCTATTTAGAAAACTTACGAGGTTTCACCACCATTTGTGTTTTACGCTTTTTTAAACAAAACATCAGGAAACAAAACATTTACACATACTCTCTAAATGTTATAGTTTTCTGCCTTTGTTTTATGCAGGTTCAAGTGCATATGGTTAATTGAAAAACTGATTTCTGTAGTTAGGAGTGAAGATGCAGGCAAAAATTGTTACTTGTATTAACAGAATATATTTTGATTCTACACATTTTATCCTGATAATAGCAAGACAAAATGAAGTTACCGCAGGAAAATGTGAACATCAAACAATTCATCTGTCAGAAGATATTAATATATTATTCTAGACTGCATTTTTTTAAAAAAAAATGTGCCACTAAAACTGTAATTTACCAACTGTTTTTGAATATAAACTGACTTACCCCCATAATCAACTAATCTACATGTGCTTGCTCATTTATACTGCATTAGTCAGAAAACAGCTTGCATTGTTTAATACTCTCTCCAGGAAAGAAACATCAATAGATATTAAATATAGTAGTGTTTATAAAAATTAGTATCGTGAGTTGTTCTTTTTTTCCTATGTGCCTATTGATAGCAGCGCTAAACCCAAGATCTGACTTCTTCCAATCTAAAGGGCACAGGGGTGCTTTTAAAAGTGCAGTCACACTCAGCTGATACATGCTCATACTTGAACATAATAAACGCTGTGTTTACATGCCATTCTAACTCATAGGGATCAGAACTGTTTCACTCCATTAACTTCAATTACCTAGACTTGCAGAATACTCAGCCATAAAATAATCATACTGGTTTGAGTTTGTGCATCATAAACTATCACAAACTAGTCAGTAACATTTTAGCCTAAACTTGTTGAGAACTGGTTTAATTTTCTTTTTGCTTATTATGAAGGCATTTATTAGAGTAGAAATTGATCGGTAGAGATTGGTGAATAGTGAAATGCCACTGAGTCCAATTTTTGTATTTCAAAGGTCTCTATGTAGTATAGGCTGTCAAGTCCTTTAGAAAAAAGTAATCTAAAAAATAGAAGACCCGGATGATGCCTGGTGTGGAGTGTTAAATTTCAGACATGAACAGTAGCACTGAAGCACAAATATGACAACAGAGAGCATTGATGGCATTTTGAATGGTTTTATTGTGCCCTCAGTTTTCATGAACTGCAGCAGCCTTTCCCAGTGTGCTACTATCCAAATATATTTGAATTCAGCAGCTATAAACTTGAGTCAACAAAAAGCACCATGATGAGAAATGAGGGTTTAAGTCCAAAACAGCTGGAGGGGACATTGTTGCAGAAGTGTGGGGTAAATGCAACCATCATTTGGATGAAGCATTCTTTCATGAAAGCTGCCATAACATCTTGCTAGTTTTTTAAGGTCTCCACCACAAACTTAGTTGCCACACATTAACATGGGAAGCCCAGCCAGTGCAATGTCCCTAATCTTTTATGATGGGAGGTGGGGGCTGTAACTACTATTTATCCTTTAAAGTCACAGAAAAGGGAAGTAATATCAAGTCTTGTTAAGTCTTGTTGGCCAAATCTTCTCTACAGGTATCCACACAGCTACACAAAGAGCTACACAAATTCAACTTCCTAACGAGAAACGGCCTTCCCTCTGCCTTAAGAAATCTGTCACTTGAGTGAAGAAGCATTTCTTTCAGTTGCTTAGTAATCCATGTAGTTCGTCGCCGGCCGCCTCCCTCAGGACAATGGAGGGTTGGCTAACAATAGCTGAACGAAGCTCTTTTCCTCCTGCGCCTTTGTCTCTGCGTTCTGTAACTCCTGGGAAAGTATAAGCTTTTCTTCTTCCACTCAGCCGAGCGTTTTCGTTCCCGTGCTGCCTCCAAAGACGCTTCCTTCCCTGGCAGGAGGAGGAAATCACCTGAAGCCGGCTGCGTGCGTGGGAAGGGAAGAGGAAAAGTGGGGCAATATTGGCGGGAACGTGAAGCGACCCTTGGCGCCTCTGTTGCTTTTGGCGACGAAGGGGAAAGGGGGAGAGTGGATTCTCCGTCTGTTGTAGTTGGCCCCGACGAACGGAAAGACGCGTCGCCCTTTGCCAGCGTTCCCGCACCAGACACCCAACACACACACACACACACACACAAAGAACACAACCCCACTCGTGCTCTGGTGAGTCACAAGCAGGTCAGGAGGACCGCACGGGAAGGGAGGGGCGCAAAGCCTTCGGAGCCGCCGCAAGAGCTGCGAGCCGCCACAAGAGAGGGAGAGGAGCTCGCTCAAGCCCTGTCACAGCCAGTGCTAGAGGCTCCCTCGCAGGCGGCGCCAGAGGCGTCTCGGCGTCCTTCCTCCAGGTGGCTCAGCTGCAGAAGGGAAAGGGGAAGCGTGTGGCTCCCGTAGTCCGGGCCGTTGGTGGGACAGTAAGCGAGGAAGCCAAATGCTAAGGACCCGGCCACTGAACAGCTGTGCCCTCGCCTTCAGCAGAGAAGGTATGTAATCCTAAGGATCCCCGCGGGCTGCATACGCTATGGAGAGGAAAGGGATCCAGGCACAAAACCGCCGCTGCAATGCACCAGCCATTAGCTCTGGAGCTTTGCACGGCCCGACCCTGTGCTATGTTCTGCAGAAGTATCTCTTGCGTAGACGTGACTAGTTGGATCTTAGTCCTGAGCTCATCTCCGTAAACCGGCTGGTTTTTGTAGTATTGTAGGGGGTTGCTTTTGAAAAAGTGTTTGATGGACCGCTTAACCTTTATCCTCCTCCTTTCGACTGCAGGTGGTTTGAGGTAATGGTAGGAAAGGGGAGTGCCCCTGAGCATGTGCTGACTTCATTCCTGCTTACGGTATTTGGTTCAAGTGTACTACAACCTAGATCGGGGCGTGACTTGTTAGGGAGTGCTGATTCTTAAGGTTTCGTTTGACAGACTCGCTATTAAATGCATAAAATATTTTAGCCCCAGAAATTAAACAGCGATTATGCTCTCACGAACCACATATCAGTCACTCGCCTATTTAACCCAGTATATGATGCGAACCCATCATCGTTCGTTTATGCAAGTAGGAGAGAGTTACCTGGTTAAGGTATCCTGCGAATCCAGCCATCGCGTCATTTAGTGAGTTTAATATTTGACTATCAAGGGTAGCGGAATTTCATTTTGACCGATCGCTGCTGTTGATTTGGGTGAGTGCTTGATGATGCGTGGCAGTTGGCTGTTGAGGTAACGAGCGGCTGGATTTTTTTTGGCGACGGTGTTGCTGCTTTTGGAGATGTGCCTGGACGCAGCAGGGCTCAGCCCTAAACGTGCTTTTTTTTTTTTTTTTTTTTGTTATTTGCCAGGGATCATTCCCGGAACATGGGAAGTGGTAATAACATAAAAAGGAGACGGTCTACAAGCGGTTACAAAGTGGTTTTCCCCTCCACTGAGTAAGCTACTAGTTCTTGTGTTTTTTTAAAGAGGTGGAGCTTCTAAATCAGAAGGTGTTCAAATAACTTCTGTTTGCGAGCTTCGCAGATCTGGACGACGTTCTTTTCCAGGAACACACCTTACTCGCCCTTTTGCCCAGGGTAAATGAAAATATGCACGCATGCGCACTAAACTTCGAGGTGCTCTCCACGTGAGGAAGCCTGGCTTTAGCAGGTGTTGAGAAAGCCCAAGAGCGAAATCCTGGAGTATAAAATGAGGATCGATCCTGGAGTAAATGATGCGTTAAAAATCGCTTCTGAGAATATAGAGCAGTGGTTCTTCAACTGACCCAGTTACCCATTTCCCTGATCTCGAATAATGTCATTACCTCTGCTCCTTCCCTCCCAGACATACTTTGCTGTTTTACAAACTGGATCCCGGATTCACAAGCAATTACAAATTGCTCAATTATCCCCAGAATATGCCTAATTTACCTTGTTTAATTACTCCCAATTTAAGAACTGATATGGAGAATACCACCTCTTCCTGTTTCTGGCGATCGCAGGGTTTACGATAGTAATTCTGAACTATTCCGCACTGTATCGTGGATTTGGGAGAGGCGGCTGGCCTGTCTGTTAGCTTAAATACGAGGCGGTGCTTTGATTCCTTATGATTGAATTGGCGCGAGGGAAAATCTTTCCAACGGATCCTATCTGTTTTCCGGAGAAAGGCTGGGGTGGGAGGGACAGAGCGTGTAAAGCGGAGAAGAGAATAAGGAAGAACATCTCTTTTTTTATTGAAATAGGATCCTGGATGATTCAGGAATGACTGTATCCTAAGGAGGAGGGAAGAGAAAGGGTAGAAGCGGTAGGAGGAAGCTTGAAAACGCGGGTTGCTTACAAAGAACTTCGGCGGCTGGCAGTCTGAGTCAGCTTGCTAGTAGCGGTGGTTGCAGCGGTAGCGGCCAAAAAGCCATGCGAAGATTTTAGGGGCTGGCAGAAGGGGATAGTCTTTTCAATACAGTTCATTTTAGGCAACCTTGACGGGAGAGGATGACTTCTTTGGGTGCTTTGCAGGTGAGCTTGTCTGGCTGCCAGAATTTCCTGATAAGCTACCTACTGTTTGTGTCTTCTCTCCAGTTCTTAGAAATGTGATTAAGAAAACCAGTGTGCACGTTGGTCCTGCTGGTAATCTTGTAGAATCGGGAATGTTTGGGATTGAAGCCACCCCCCCTTTTTTTTTAAGGAGAGGGGCTTCAGACTTGCAACACTTCTGAGGACATATGATTTTATGCCAGTTTGATTGGAGAATATTTTATACCTGATTTGCTAATAGGAGAGCTATGAAATGCAGTTCAATAATTTGTTACCATAAAGGTCTGCAAAAGAATTAGATAGTGTAGTCAGTGGAACTTAAGTTTCAGCAAAACATGTTTTTAGAAAGTTATTGTAGCAAACCTGATGATTAAATAAAAGCTTTGGAATGCATATGATAAAATGGCAAGTAACAATGTCATAATATATTAGAATTGATTCTAATCTTCCTCAACTTCATGTCCCCCAATTGTATTAGATTGCAATTTTCTGCACTGTGGCTAAGGATGACAGGAGTTCCATTAATTTGGGGCGCTAGTTTAGGAAATGATATTACATTATATTTTCTTGTGCACAAACTGTTCTGCAATGGAAGTGCCCCTTGGTTTTAATTTAGCACAATCTTATGTTTTGAATTACCTGATTCCTCTCACAGTACATTCATTCTGTCTGTGAATAGCGAACATCTACTAGTATGATAACGATTTGAAAAGTTTGTCTGCTAAGTAATACGGCCTTTCAGCTTTATTTGTACAGTTCATTTCAGTTTTCCTGAAATCAGGACCTCCAGATTGCACTTTTATAACCTATGCACCTATGTAAATTTTTTTACTACCGGTTCTGTGGGCGTGGCTTATTTTGTGGGTGTGGCTTGGAGGTCATGTGACTAGGTGGGCGTGGCTAGCTGCTCAGTCATTTCTGGAAGGTCCTCGCACTTACGACCCGACTCATTTGTTTGCTTTTAACACTGATCAGCTGTAGGACGGCCCTTTGAAGCCGCCCGGCAACAGTTTAAACAGTTTTTTTCCCTCTAGTCATCAGCTCGGCCTCAGGAGGCAGCAATAGATTGGGGGTGGGACCAAATAAAAGGTAAGAATAACGTGGGTGGGGGTTGGGGGGTTGGGGGGGGAACCGGTTCGGTGACGTCATATCGTCACCGCTACCGGTTCGGCCAAACCGGGAGGAACCCACCACTGCTATGCACTCCAGTTACTGACTAGAAAGGTTCACAGTTCCAGTTGTAACCCATTGGAAGGTCATCTTTTGAGGAAGCTGTTCTTAACACTGTTAGAATTGTACACTACTGCTCAGACTTAAAGGGTGGACAGGACAAATAAGTCAATTTCATTAACAAATGTAATTCTGAATAGAATAGAATTCTTTATTGGCCAAGTGTGATGGGATACACAAGGAATTTGTCTTGGTGCATATGCTCTCAGTGTATATAAAAGATACATTCGTCAAGAATCATAAGGTACAACACTTAATGATAGTCATAGGGAACAGATAAGCAATCAAATTGTATTAGGAAACAGGCAATATAAATTATAAGGATACCAGCAACAAGGTTACATTCATACAGTCATAAGTGGGAGGAGATGGGTGATAGGAACGATGAAAAGATTAATAGTAGTGCAGACTTAATAACTAGTTTGACAGTTTTGGGAATTATTTGTTTAGCAGAGTGATGGCGTTTGGGAAAAAACTGTTCTTGTGTCTAATTGTTCTGGTGTCCAGTGGTTAACAAATATCCAGAGGATATGAGTTAAATTACTATTTTCTGATGTTAACATATTAAATATTTGATTCATGGTTTAAGATTTATTATGAGTGCTTTCATGTTACTTGAATACTTGTTTCACAGCTTCTATGCAGGCAGGCCTTGGGCAGTCTGATACCATTTGGAGCAGGCCATCTCACAGATGACTGCGTAAAACTTTAGTTGATCATCAGAACTTTCAATTTGGCATGCAAACTTTGTGATTTTGTAATATATTTCATTAGATACATTTGATTGGTGTCTCCCTGTTAAATTGACATTAAGAAATACTGAAATCAGAATGACACTGATTTATGATAGTTTGTCAATTTCTGGCAAAAATTGTCCACTGGGGAAGCTGGATTTGCTTTTGGAAAAAAATAAGACATCCATAAATCCAGCCTTCCATAAGTCCTAATGCAAAACCAGTTTTTCTTTGGAGTGTCTCCCCAACACACCAATAAAGAACCATTGTGGACTGGAAGAAGTTGCATGCCTTTGATTTGGGGAGCACCAGGTTAGTGAAGATTGCCTTACGCAATTATACCCTATGACTATGGCTAATATCAAAAATGAATTGCATTCTGTCAGCAAAATAGGGGATGATTGCATACTTGGATGACATGATGAGTTTGTCAGAATGTAGTCATTCTAAATTTCTATAAAGTCAATTGGAATGGTTTTTTAAGTATAGTTAACCCTCATTTTAAGGATAATTTGGGGGAAAGAATGTCTATTATCTATGAAAGTGTAGAGATTTGGAAAGCATATCATCTTAGTAGTATATTGTATCATTTGCATGATGACATCATTGTACAAGAATGCAAATTAATTATTTGGCTCATTTTACATACTTTGGGTAATGAAGTCTTTGCCAATCTACATACAGTAACTCAAGGCTTTTAGGATGAGAGGATAAACATAGTTGGCCAACCATCCTTGAAAGATCCTTGATTGGGGAATGACATTTCTTGGTCAGTTGGCATGACTGGAATCTTGAGCTTCCTAAGTCTCCTAGAAAAGTTCAAAGGAAGACACAGGTGAAGGAAGATTTCTATGTTGGCAGGACTATCATTGCCTCTTTACTTTGATTAACCTCTTTGAACTTCCAGTGAAGCTTGAGCCAAGAAGCTAAGCAATTCTTGGTGATAACCTAGTTCTCCGCTGTCCTTTTGCTGCCGAAGATTGGCCAATTAAAATAAGCTATATGGCATGTAGATATTAGTTGTTCAG